AAAAAAGTACATTGGTAATATGTCAGGGACGGTATCACAAAACAGCAACAACTTGGGTATGAGCTGGGCCCAAACCAAAGCTCTAGCCATAAAAAAAGAAAAAGACAAAAAGTAACTTCTAAAATCTGCTCTGCTCTGCAAGCAAACACTGATAAACGCCCAAAAGTCCATCTTAAATACTAGGATAACAGACACAGTTTATTTTACTGTTATCCCATTTTATGTTATACCATTTTATGGTATATTCTAAGCTTTTACCACAGGTTTCTAAAATGCCTTAGATGCCTTATATCTTAAGTTATGGCTTAAGTTATGAATTAAAGCAAATCTCTAATAAAAAAAAAACAAAAACATGTTACAGTCTTCTGGAAAGTCTTGATGCCTGTACAAGGGGGGACCCAAAAAAACCCAGAAATACCTTTTGGAGGACCGGCCCCTTATAGTACAGCTTCTCCCACTAGGTAAGTGCTCTAGGAATCCATTGGCATCAGTGTACCAGCTTGTGGTGTTGTGAGAGGTTGCATTCAGCTTCAGTGAATTTCTTTTTGGAAATTCAGTTATGTTTTCCCATCTCATGATGGGTGATTTATGAGCACACCTGCCCACACTGTGCTGAGTGTCCTGCAGTTTTTGACCAAAAGCAGCATGACCTCCATGTCCCACCCTCCCTATTCACCTGATCTTGTCCCAAGCAACTTTTTTTGTTGTTTCCCCAGATGAAAAAAGTTCACATTTTGCTGATATGGGAAAGAGGTGAGACAAAAAATGACAAGCACTAAAAGGCATCAAAAGTGACAAATTCAAAAACTTTTGGGCAGTGGAAAAAGTGTCTCGGGTATATTGCATCAAATGGAGAGTAATTTGAAGGTAGCTGAAGTTTAAGTATGTAAGAATAAATACACAATTTTTAAATAAATTCCAGGTTTTGGGGTATATCTGCATATATATAGTATCTTTTAAACTTCCATATACATGTGATTAATAACAATGCCAATTCATTAGAAACATAATTGAGTTCATTAAAAAGATATAATGGAGTTTCAAATAGCATTTGTCATTGTTCTTATGGATACTAAGTATGCTTTCTAGTAGGGCGTCATGAAAATTGAACATCAAGTAGAGGTCTTTGTACCAGAAATATCGAGAATCACTGACTTAGGATATAAATGCATAAAAGGATCAACTGCACCACCATTTAAACAGGCAAACAGAAACAGATTCCATTTAAATGTAGTATTCTTTCTCCTTCACCAAAAAGTAAGAACTAGAAAATACTGTAAATAGGACTTTGGTCAGTATAGAAGTCACCAAAAGAACACAACCATAGTGTCCTTAGAATCTGATAGCTGGTTCCATTCTCAGCACATAGAACATACAGGGTGAAACTGCTCACCTGCAGGGCAGGCTCGGGATGACTTTTCATGTGGTCACTCAGGGGCCAAAATTTCTCAATGGAAATGCAGATAAAATAGCATTTCTAGGTGAAAAAACAATGAGATTCTAATAAATCTGGGTAGAGCTGTGTGGTATGATTTTATCTGTCAACTGGGCTCTACCTCAGATTGTCATAAAAATTAAATGAGATTCTCTATGTAAAGTATCTAGAACTGCCTTGGACTGTAGAAGGTGTTCTGTGTTAATTCCTTTCCATACCTCTCCTGACTATCTCCTAAACCTACTAACTTCAAATTACGAATTATTTTAAGTGTTATATCTATGGATTATAATTAAGAAGAAAGAAGTATAATCTAAGAATGCCAACAGTCATTTAGAATTTTGAACAGTTAGAACTAGGTAGTAGATTCCTTAAGTGAAGTATCAATACTTCATCTCACTTAGAGATCTTCCAGGTGGAGAAAACCGCACATGTGTACACACACACACACAAACAGGCATCTGGGTACCATATGGTTTCACCTGGCCACTCCTACTTGTGACCAGAATATTGAACTTCAATCTACAGCAATTCCCCCAGCACTGTAATATAAACCCTCACAAGAAAAGGAAAAGTAACTTCTACCATCTAGTTTTAAAAAACCTGATGTAAACCAGGCTCAGTGGCTCAGCCTATAATCCTGCACCTTTGGGAGGCTGAGGTGAGTGGATTGCCTGAGCCTGCAGGTTCGAGACCCACCTGGGCAACTTGGCGGGACGTCATCTCTACAATAAATCAAAAATTAGCTGGACGTGGTAGCACGCGCCTGTAGTTCCAGCTACTTGGAAGGCTGAGCAGGAGGATCGCCGGAGCCCAGCAGGCTGAGGCTGCGGTGGCCAGGAGCAGCCACTGCACTCCAGTCTGGGTGACACAGTGAGACTCCAGCTCAAACAAACAAACAACAACAACAAAAAACCTGATGTAGATCCTCTCCATGCTTCATCATCCTTTGTTAAGGTGGTATATAAACCCCAAATTCTGTCTTGTCGAGTCACATTTCTTTTGCAAATTCCTGTTGTATTTATCCTGTTAGTCTTCTATCAGTTTGACTCATGGGCCCAGGTACTTAATCTAAGAAGGTAGAGGAAGAACTCTTTTTCCCCCCTATGAATTCAGTTTTAGTCTTTGTTGTATAGTAAAACCACTTCAAATATTTTAGAACAAGTGGGATATAAATAATGAGTGTCAAGTGCTATGCACTTAATTAAATTCTAGGCAGCAGTATATGTAATTTTGAGCACTGAAAAGAATCATTACTCTGATGTAGAGACATAGAAACATTGTTCAAATCTACTTGGACTCTAGGTCAAAATACCAAAAATTCAGAAAATTTTGCTATTTAAAGTTTTAATAATTCAGGATACAAATATTACACTTCTTTCCCTAGCGGGTATTGTAGAGTTCCTATTTTCTGTGGCTGATGATACAGTATTTTGGGGGAAGAGAAGTAAATGCAATTTAAATATTTTTTAAAGTCCTGCTTTTACCCATTGGACTTAATTTCTCACTAATCCAAAGACACTTCCCCTCCCATCAACTGAGTCTCTCCCTGCCTCATCCATGCCCATTTGCTCCTTCCAGTCCTCCCTTAAGTTGAAACACACCACCTCGCCCTTATCTCCTCCCAGCACCCTTCCCCCTCTTCCCTACTGAAGTCAAAATACTATCTTCAGGGACAGCGAAGCCCCATCTCCTTCATGCAGACTTCCAGTGTTCCTCTCACCCTTACTTAAAATTATCTTTTCAAACGGATGTCAAGTCCATTTAATTTATAAATGCTGCCTCCCCAAATGAGATTAGATGTTCCTCGAGGGCAGAAGTCTTTTTTTTATTATTTTGCATAGAACAGTTCTCTACATTAAGGCACTTAAATGGATGCTCTTTAAAGTGTGGCCATTTATAAAACATCTATGGGCCTGCAGTGTGTTAGATGTTGGGAATAAAAAGGTGAAATTTACATAGCTCTGCCTCTTTCGGGGCATTTATATGCAAAGGCCACAGACTTGCAGGGGTGTCTGGGCCACTGTTTTGCTTGGCCAGTGCAGTGTTTACACTGTTCTGAATGAGATGCCTCTAAGCTGGGCCTGCACGCTCTAGTGCACAGGTCTTATTCCCGTCTGTCTGTCACCCATCCAACCCCGTTAATTTATGTTATCTTCAGCCTCTTTTGAAACATCCCTCATAACTTTTAATTCATAAGGAATAAATTAATGCTTATATACTAGGCTCTTTCCATGTCAGAGACTGACTAGAGTCATTTACTACTGCCAACACTTTGAGCATTATAATATCATGTGTGGTTTTATTTCTCTACTACTGACTTGGTGCATGTTCATAAGATGCGATTCTATATGGAAAACAAGTCGCAGTTTAAAAACTACCAAATTCCAGGGCAGATGGTATATTAGTTAATTAGAGGAAGGAAACAGAACTGCTCAACAACTATTTTGCTACTTTAAAACTGATGATCTTCAAGCTGAAAAGGACAGAAACCTCACTAAGTGATAACTAAGTGCAGGCAGAAGAGGTCACATTAAGAGTCGGTTTCTTCACATTCTGGTGATTATATTTTAGGGTATCCAAGATAACCTGCAGTTATCAGCACAGAGATATTCTGACAACCTATGGAGAAGAAGGGAGTTCACAAGAGGCTAGAGATGCAAACACAACTTTTCCCCTCCAATTTTTTTTTAATATTCAAAACTAAAGGAAAGAATTAGAGTTTGTAGGCTTTACAGACCAGTAAGCTTGCCATCAGTCTCTGGCAAAATTCACAATAGCCTTATGGTAGATAGAGTATATTATTCCCATTTTACAGATGAGAAAACTGAGGTTCCGGGGTCTGAAAGATTACCAGTTTACTTTGTCTCCTTTGCAGAGACAAAAATCTTATTTTGTATTATTTTAGACTTTTCATTTTTAACTATTTTGGGTCATGGACTCCTTTCAGACCCTGATGAAAGTTTAGACATTTTTGCCGAGAAATCCTGCAATGATTCCACAAGCAGGAGAGTTATTAACAAAGTAGGACTAATGAGAAGAAGGTAGAAGGAGGCAGTTGTCAGTTCAGTGTAAACAAGACCTTGCTCTCAACAGAAATGGATCTCTCCAAGTGTAGCGAGCCTCCTGTCAGGGAACGTTCAATCAGAACGTGACAGGTCTGTCAGGAGTGCTACAGAGGAGGCATTAAAAACAACGGGAGTTTGGTCTGTGCTTTTAAAGTCCTCTCTTGCTAGTAAGATTGTGGGCCTACATTATTAATAAAACAGACAACAAGAGATGCTGGCGAGGATGTGGAGAAAAAGGAACGCTTCTACACTGCTGGTGGGAATGCAGACTAGTGCAACCTCTTTGGAAGACAGTGTGGCGACTTCTGAAAGAACCAGAAATTGGCCTTCCGTATGACCCCACATCCCTATAATAAATACATTAAATAAAGAAAGAGTGTGGGCCTAAAGTTATTTTTATAATTTTTGTCTGATCGCAAAAGAGTTGCAAACGTAAGTTACAATTTCTCCAGACCACTCTGCTTGAGAGCAGAACAGGCTACCTCCCACCTACTTACGACAGCCACGTCCAAAGAGAGAAGGGAACATCCAACTGCTGATCTTGCTTTGATCTCCACACACTGTCACAGTAAAAACAGGCTCCTCATGCCTCCCAGTTCTTGGCTACAAACTGCCCTAAGAACGGCCGTCCACGCCAGACCCCAAAGGCGGCGGATCTGCTGAGGACGCCCACCTCCTTGAGCGTCTGCGGCTCGTCGCCCGCCTCGAGCGCGGGGTGGGGGCGTCGGGGTCAGAGCCAAGGCAG